ACTGAATAACATCTACTTAACATACGTCGCTTCTTACAAAATTGCATTTAGTGAACATACGTTACTTCTTACCGAATAACCTCTACTTAACATACGTCGCTTCTTACAGAAGAAAATCTACTGAACATATGTCACTCCTTACAGAATAAAATATCTCAACGTTGTCTTTAGAAGCATTTGTCTCTGACAATGGATTTTTTCATGCAAAGTTTGCTTCAAGAATAATTGCTGGTTTTCAAGACTGAAATTTTGTCCGCAAACTTCAATGTTTTCTAAAATTTTTCGTCAGCTCAACAATAAGGTGTTTTTAATCTATTTTCTTTACATTCTTTTCAGAACTATCCTATATTTTCTTCTTTCTTCATTCATTTTAGAAGTCAAACAAGTTTGTAAGGTTGTCGAAACAAATCTAGAGTTTATTTAGTTCTAGATTCAATTGGTGGCTAATATATAGGCTAAATCAAGCCATTAAATACTGTAATTCCGTGACCGTGAAACAAGATTTTACATTAATTAACCTTTTGCATGATTAAAGATTTTATTTTATTTTTAATTGAGCTCAACCGTTTCAAAATTCATTGCATTAATCAACCTTTTGATTAACGGTTTTATTTTATTTTTGATTTGAGCTCAACCTATTCAAAATTCATATTATACCAGGATATTAAAAACCCCTCTCGTCGGCTAGCAATTTAATTCGGGATTTACCAAGCGTCCGCCAACACAGAAAAGGACCCAAAATCGCGCATGTTAGCTTTGCTGTGTAGACAGAGTAATCAGGCAGACGGTTCCTGCAGCAAACATTGTTTGTCTGCACTGATGGCCACCACTGTTTGTTTTGCTTACGTCCTCTTACCTTTTGACTGTTTGAAGAATTTTCCTAGAACTATCCATGAATTGTTCTGATTATCGTTACCGAAATTCCATGATTTTACTATTAATATGATTTTATTGTTAAAGATTATTGACTAATTTGTGGCTTATCACGTCACACCTTTGGACTGTTTCCAAAATAAAAAAATTCTATTAAGTTTTAGCAGAAATAGTTTCTAATTTTGCCACTGAAATCTTGTAATATATAATGCGCAGGTCGATGATTAAGTTCAATTTTCTGGTCTTAAAATTCAAACCAGACATTTTTTCGATTTTTGTGATTGGGATTTCTATGTATGTCTAACGTAGTTTTAAGTAATAATAGTTATATTCGTGTTATTCATTTAATTTCTATTTTCACCATAAACTCTCGCGTCATTTGCATTAAAATTCATTTATGTAACTCGACACTTATTATTACTCTTAATTGTATTACGTTTCTTTTATAGAACGATTACTTCGACGCATCATACGATGAGCATATATGCTTGAGAGCAATATTCGAAGTTGACTAATTTGAATGAGGCAATCATGATCTTTCTTTTTTAAGCAATCACTTTTCATTCTGTCTAATGCCCATGAACTTGTCTAATTTCAAATTTCCAGATAACTTTTTATAAACAATTAACACGTAATTTAAAATGAGGGCCGCGCGAGCAACGCTCATCGGAGTCCATTCGTCGGCCACCAAAGCGTTTTATGATTTACTTTAGGACTGTAGCGAACTATAGTATTCACGTTATCAGTAGCTTATCGTTGTGTCTGGTTGTTAAGATCTTTTGAATAGTTCTCTGGAATAGGACACTTCCTGTCTCTTATACACATCTAGATGTGTATAAGAGACAGGTACACAGNCTGCCCGCGCTCATTACATCGTCTTTGTGTAGGTTCGACCACTCCCCTTGCACTGTCCTAATTGTGCCGTCACTCCACTGTCACTTGTGTCACTTTTTGTGCCCGTCTGATGGTCTCCTCCAAGCGATTTGTGTTGCTGGTGTCCCCGAGTGCGACTTTTTTCCGAATCACGTCCCGGTTTTACCAATAACTTGAATGTGGTCCCGAGATTACCAGATACTCGGGTGTACAATGTCGTTATTGTGACCTTTTGGAGCACCAAGACCAGGCATTACCGAGCAATTTTGTGTCATATTGACTGCGCAAATAACTTTAATTGGGGTTTGTTCTTTATGAAGGGTTGAGCATAAAGACTCGGTGTTATTTAAAACATTGATTAACTTTAGTCTGTTATTCACATTCACTATTTAATTCCAATTTAGGGATCTAAACCTCATTACTCAAATTACTTTAATTCACCGTACGATGTTTACAAACTTAGCCTGATCGCACTTGCTTATAAAGCCCGCTTTTCTTTCACCGCATTCAATACTCGGATTTCGCAACAGCCGCAGTAAGTTACAGCGACTCAAGTAAAGTCCTTTATTTTGCCGTCTCTAAATCCCGTAATCTCGTTTAGGCTTCAATTTATGCCACCATTTGTTGGCTCTTCAAAGACATGAGGCGGACGTGCGGCCATCGCTACATTGAACTCTACACTGCGGCCACGAACTTTTTAAGTCCCAAATTATTTTTTTTTTCGCACTGAGTTTTTTGTCCTTGTGGATAATCAGGAAAGAGTTCTGAAAGTTAGATTGACATTGGATAGATCTCAGGATAAATTATTAGGTATGTCAAATTTGTAACTATTTAATAAAATTCAAATTTTTTATTATTAATTTATTTAGAAATAGTGTATCACAAAGAAATCTAACATCAATTTTTTAGCTTGACTTTTAATATCAAACGAAATAATTTTTTTAATAGTCGGTGTACGTATATACTGATAACTTGTTCCTCCTACGTCGTGTGTCGTGTGTCGTCTTCTGAGTAACAAAGAGCATTGCTCCGGATACTGGCGCTCTGCTCTATTATTACCATAGCACTGGATTAATGAAAGAATTAATTTATTGATACTTTGAATTCTGATATAATAAAATAGGTAGTAAGATAAATCTATTTTGAGTTTTATTTCTATTACAGAAACTCAAACGGTAGTTGAATTGGAAGTCTAGATTATGAGCGCCAATAGCGAGCACCTCTTCGTTGACGCTTACGAAAGAACTTCATTGATTTTCTCCACATTCATTTCCATTTACTATTGTACTTCTCTATTATGGGGTCCGCCATTATTGCTGTCCAATCTTCAATATGTTTCGTCCCCTCCATTTCTCTAGTCACTCCTCGCTATATTTATGCAAGATTTATTTCTATTCTCTTGTCTACTCCTCGCTCTATTTCACATAGTTCTATTTCCACTCCATTGCTTCACTCCTCCATTATTTTGTTCAGCTCTATTTCCATTCGTTTGATCCCCTCCTACATCATAGTAACCAGTCCTTTTCCAATCCATTGTGTCACTCCTCTATTTTATCCACTCCTATTTAAATTCCTTGATCCACTCTTCTCTTATTTAATCCACTCCTACATCCATACCTTTGGTCCATTCCTCTGTTATTTTATCCAACCCTACTTCCATTCCTTTTGACCAGTTTTGCCGCTCCGGGCTCGCAGGAAGGTCCCCTGACACTCCTTTATTCCGAGCCTGCATACAATCTTATGCATTGAACCTATGTATAAAAATTAAGCATTTTATTTATTGGCATTCATAAGGTACTTTACTTACAAAAATAAACTAATTCATTGAATTTTTGTTTTGAAATAAGTTGAAAAATTTTATTCGTCTCACTTTAATTGCTTTGTTTTCTATAATTGTTAAATTCGAATAAATTGAGAAATGTGTTGTATTTAATACCTGTAGTGAAAACGCGTTTTTACCCCATGTCACATTGCAAAGTTTCTTACGAAATGGCCAAATAAAGTTTTGAATTAATCTTTGATTATTAGTTCGAAATACTATCGAAAAAATGTAATCCTTGAAACGCAAAGTTCATTTGTCGAAATCAGTTCGAAATTATCATTTAGCTCGCATTATAAATTATATTATACTGTTCTGAATTTCAGTGCGCTTGCTTCAGTAGACTAGGAGACATTAGGTGCCGCCCCTGGTTGAACCAAAGATGCTGTGAGGTTTACAATAATTTGTTGGGAGATTGTTGGCTCATTTTTGTCTTAACTGCTCCAGAACTCCTTGCTTACAAGCCAGCGTTGATGTTGCGTCGCACGTGGCGGTGAGAACCGCGATTGTTGCAGTAGTGCAGCACTTGCTGCTGGGATTGCTGCTGGGATTGTTGGTGGAGTGCAGCAACTGCTGCTGGGATTGCTGCTGGGAATGTTGGTGGAGTGCAGCAACTGCTGCTGGGATTGCTGCTGGGATTGTTGGTGGAGTGCAGCAACTGCTGCTGGGATTGTTGGTGGAGTGCGGCAACTGCTGCTGGGATTGTTGNTTGCTGGTGTAGTGAGGCAATTGCTGCTGGGATTGCTGGTGTAGTGGGGCAATAGCTGCTGGGATTGCTGGTGTAGTGAGACAATAGCTGCTGGGATTACTGGTGTAGTGAGACAATAGCTGCTGGGATTACTGGTGTAGTGAGACAGTTGTTGCCGGGATTGTTGATGTCGTGTTGTCAAGAGCAGCCGTCTCAGGACTCTTATTCTTTAGCGCAGCTGTCTGGTGTGACGTGTTGTCTAGCGCAGCTCGTTGCATGTACATCGTCTTGCCTCGTCCGGTCCTTGCCTAGAAATGGTATTTTTATGCAGAGTTTCTACAATTTATTCCAGAGGACTTTAACTTGGCCGAGTTTCCTCAGACCCAAAATCAGAAGACAACTCTTATTTTTACCTGCCGACATGTTCACTGCAATTGTTATGTATTGTTAATTTTTCTTATCACGCACTTGTGCACATGTTTATTGTATTTTTACTGCTGTAACTTGTTCGTTATTTTAATGTTAAAAATTAATTAATTTAATTAATTTTTAATTAACTTGTTTAATAACGTATGGTTATTATAACACAAACGGCGTCCGTTGAATGCTTGCCGTGTCTAGATGACCTATTAGTCTGTCTTCCGTTGATTAGCCAAACTAATTACTAAAAATATATTGTTTTTATTTGCTAGTTAAGAATATATTGCTTCAATATAACTTGTTAATAATAGCAATTTTTCATTTCAGTTTGGTCGCAGCCTGGCGTGGACATACCGTTTCCTGACGAGTCTGACATCCAGAGCCACGACTACGACTACAGCGACGTCAGCGAGTGAGTGGTGCATGAGGTGTGATGAGTGGTGCAGTAGTTGTGATGAGTGGTGCTTCAGGTGTGATGAGTGGTACATCAGGTGTGATGAGTGGTGCTGTAGTTGTGATGAGTGGTATATCAGAACACGTCCAACGGTACATCCGACGACGACTCGGAGACGGAGGACGACGAAGGCGGCGCATCAGCGTGACCGGGGACTACGACGTCCTAAACTCATCATAAGGTCATAAGGTGTGAAANCAGTCGTTAAACCGGGTGAGTCAAGCCAGTAGTCAAGCCTGGTGAGTCAAGCCAGTCGTTAAACCGGGTGAGTCAAGCCGGGTGAGTCAAGCCAGTCGTTAAGCCGGGTGAGTCAAGCCAGTCGTTAAGCCGGTTGATTCAAGTCACCATCATCTGGGTGAGTATCAAAATATGGAGTTGTCGAACTCAGTCCGGCACCGACTACGTCTGCATCCCGCTTCCTAGCCAATCATACACCAGAAAGTATCAATCGAATCATCAACCAGAACCTGCAACTGCAATCGTCAACCATAAAATCAATCGGCAACCATACGATGCTTGACTTGCAATGATGCTGCTAATCTTGAACCAGTGTCTATGCAAGCTTCTTAACCCTAACCCATCGTACAGTCGACGTACACCAAGAAGTGTCTATCCAATCGTCAATCATTGAATCTCCATGCAATCGTAAAATAAACCAGCCAATCGTTGGATTGTGGTGACTAATCTAAGAATCGTCAAACCATCTGTGATACTGGAACCAGATGACAGAATAAATAGGAGGAATCTGTCTTGCCTGCTGAATTAATACTTTAAGTAAGTTACCAATGAAAAGCATAATTTTCAGTGAAATTTTTTTTGATTGTTTTCGAAGGGAAACTCGTGAAAAAATTACGCCAAATCAAACAAGCCTATCAAGAACGACCTGTAATAAATTGCGCTCTTTTCAGTTTTTTTTTCGGTTGCCTAGTGCAAAGATACCCATGTACATTTGGTAGTTATCTCATAATATAATAAATTTGTTCCAATTTCAATGTCCTCGAAAAGTTCATGTGGTTCCTAAACAGCATGTTGATTTCGAACTAAAACGTTTATGAGCGTTTAGAACTCAGCCATTGAAAGATCGTGATCGTGGCTAATGGAGCCGTCTGCTGTAAGTTGCTTATATGGTTCAAAGTGTTTGTCATGTACACATTAAATTGTATTACTTAGATTAAAAATTATCAGTTGTTGAAAATATGCATGCCGTGAATGTGAACCGCAATATTTACTCCAGACGTTTTGATTTATGCATAATTATCGTACATTTTAATTTTGTATTGCTTGGTTTTGCGTTACCTAAAGCAATCTAAATCATCTATATGCCACTGAGTCATAGACTTTTTATCTGTATCTAAATTGCAATATATGTATATGCCATTGCGAACATATTTTTCTGTGTCCGGTCAGTTATCAACGTAGAGCTGCTGCGCGATATCAGCGGAGTAAAAATGGAATTTTTGGTCAAATAATATAGTTGTATTGGGGACAATTAATTCATAATAAAATTTTCAATGAGAAACAGTTAAGAAAGTGATTATTTAGAAATTAATTAATCAGCGAGTAAGGGAAGTAAATTTTACAATACATTTTAATCCAAACGTCACCATAATCTCTTCCTAGATTAATAAAGATTGATTAACTGTTTGTTAACTAATAAAGATAATTCAACTTTTTGGCAGGTCCAATGGAGGCGGTTCCTGAGAGCAAGGCTGTCATTCCTGCTGACTTGCCTGTAGGACTGTAAGTAACTATTTCTTAATTACATTAAAACAAAATTTAATACTGCTAATTATTGAATAATGGTGATATTGTCGTATATAAGAAGAAATGTTGTGTATTTAATACCGCCAACAAGTTATAGAAATTATTTATGTTAATTAGTCGTATTTCTGCTTTTAGTTAGTGAAAACTTTTAGTGAAATAGTTTGATTATTAATTACTAGTGCCCAGATAACGGCAGCAAAGCGCTCTCTATGCATGTGGCAGTGACTGGACCTACGAAATTTCGGACCATTTTCCATTACCGTTAGTGTCATCATTTTCTACCTTTTATGCGCGATTCGATGAGCGAAGAAAGAACTTGCCCTTGTTTGCTTTATCCATTACTAATTAGCGAACTGATGAAACGTACTTCACTATTCTATTCTATTCTATTCCATTCTATTCTATTCTATTCTATACCCATCTAAGAAGCAGGGCGCTCATCGGCCAAGTTATGCAACACTTTTGCGCATTTTACATTCCGAAGCATCTACCATTTGTAGGGTATGCCGTGTCAAAAACCAGAAACTCTGCTTACTATCATTACTACTACTATGCTAAGCTTACTATCATTATCGAACTTGCCATCATGCTGCACGCAATACGCCATAGGTAATCGCGTTTAAATGTTATTTGTTCATAGACCTTGACGCATTATTGTACAACTTCATAATTATACCTTGTGAATCAAGTCACGAAAAGTTCAAGAATCGGCAACAGGCCATGGGCCTATTTCTTAAACGCCGACACTTCTATTCTATTCTATTCTATTCTATTCTATTCTATTCTATTCTATTCTATTCTATTCTATACCCACATTAGTTCTACCTATGCAGTCCGACAAGAGGTTAAAGCGCGCCGAGGTAAGCGTGTTTACGGTACGCGGTGCAAGGGGGTCGGGCGGATGCTCAAAAATCGATAACTGGTCCGCGCAACGCCGACTAACTTAAGTAGAATTGAACATTTCTGTCTGGATTCACATCTAAATTTTTATGTAAATCTAATGGAATTTTATTTAGTAGATATTTATTGAAATGTTTAATGGACGGTGGACCTCCGTGATTAGTCATAACGCGCTTCTTGATTCATAGGCGCCATGCCTTGTCTCCCTCTGACCACCAACATCGCCGGACCCTCAGTGTTGTGAAGAGCGTCAGTGGGTGAGGTTGTGCGTCATGTATTGTGCGCCGTGTCGTCCATTGATGAAATTACATTGATATCGCATTTTTAATACCATGAACAAAATTATTTTTAAGCATCTGTAGCGATGTCTTTAATCACTGACATCAATACGGTTGACTTTAGTAATCGCTTTATCGACGTGAAGATAGGCGCTGTTCGGCTTTGTTGTTGTTAGGAGTTAGGAGTTAGGATGCGTTCATCACGAGCGTGTAGTTCGACACGCTGGCGTCAGCTGTTCTTCACACTCGTCTACTGTTCACGCTCACAGTCAGCTGTTCTGAACACTCACAGTCAGCTGTTCTTTAACACGCACAGACAGCTGTTCTTAACACTCACACTCGAAATTACTGAGCATTCATTAAACTTATACTGTATCAACTACCGCGATTTCAATCATCCGAGATTATGTTATAGTTTACTTATTTTCTTGTTAATTTATGCATTATTGTCGAGAAATAACATAATTATTAAAGTTATTTCTTTCAATTTCGTCTAAAATCAAAATTGCATAGGGCAGTGTATTATAGAAACGCTTGTCAGAATTATAAACAACGTCAAAAAACACTAAAAAATCAAAGTTGAAAATAACTTTGATTCCCAAACCGCGTTTGCTCTTGGTTTCGGATTCATCACTAAAATGCACGTACCGAACTTTATAAATTCAATGAGCTGTATACTTAATAAAAATGAACCTTTGTAATACAGATATTTTTTTACAATCTCTATTTAGTTAACATACGGTATGTAAACCTTGCAAAACGATTAGGTATATCTTTTAAGTGAAATTTTTGCGTTACAGCGACTGTTCATACAGTTCCACTTTAATATTTTCCTTTTGCCATGTCTTTCACTTTTTTGTCGAGCGATCATTTCGTAAATTAGGAAACATGCTTGCGCTATATTTTCGCTCCTAATACGACTGCTTTCGACTTCATATCGAATTGCTTCGTGTTCGCAAAAGGCTGAGTTAGGGCAGTCAATTTCGCAGTGTTTAGGTATGGATAATGTAATTAGAGAATTGTATGGGTTTTCTATTGGTATTGACCGACCGTCGGGCATTACATCGGCAAACCGTTGCACATAAAATCCACACGCTATCATCTAGCCATGTTGGAATGAGCAACATAAGGAGATAAATTAGGTCAGCTCGAATGATGTTCGTTACTTGAGGTCGCTTTTGACTTCAGTCTGGTTAAATACAAGCCTCAAAAGGGTCAAAGTAACGAAACAATTAAATCAAAGATAAATATTAATTGCTTTAATGAATTTATTGGGATCATTAGACTCAATTAATTGCAAATAGGCTAATCTCTCGGCCAATCGCAGTTTCCACTAACGTAACTGGTCAGCTGCAGACCAAAGCTGATATTGTTGTAGAACTTACGATCACATCAATATCGAATTCTCGATTTCCGTAGGATTCGCCATAATCAGACATAAGATTACCGTAATACTCTCAAGTATTCTCTTACATGACTGCTGGAGGCTTCGGCATTTTTCCATGGTTAGAGGCCGCTCGCGTTCGAGGGCAGTCTGTAGCTGGGCTACTTGCCACACTGCGCCTACACTTCATTGCAGTAGTTCTGCCTTCCGCTGGGCTTATGTATTTGTGCACTACAAGAAGATTTTTCTTGAGGATATTTATTTTCTTCAGTGAAACAGTTTGCGGCAGGACCTCTTGTACCAAGGCATGTTTACACTAATCGCCGAGAGTTCCCATTTCCGATTTTTGTGTGTATCTTGTAATTCTCAAACTTATTGACGTGCAACGCCACATCTTATTCCCTGTCTATTATTGATTGGCCCGGTGAGTTGGTCGATAGTCTCGTGTTGAGCCTCCTCCTGGTAGGCCTAAGTTTCCCTCACTAGCCTGATCCTGTATATTACCCTCAGCACGAAGGCCTCCCTCACTCGCTGACCCTCTGACACTGGAAGCGTTGAGATAGCCAGCCTCGGAACTCGTACCGCACACATGCTTTAATGCACTACGATGAAGAGAGGAGTAGACACGATACTCAGCGGTAACTGCGTTCAGAAAGTCAAATATGGCCTGTCGTGGATGTTTGACATCACAGAATTCTGGCAGCTTGCAAGGCTTTGAACCTGCAACTTAATGCCCTATCGCGCTGTTCTCAACCTCAACGCCACCTCGCCGACTTTGACCAGAACTGTCACAAGAAACTGGCATCGAACCCACAACTCACTGCTCCACTCATGATTCTCTGAATAAATATTTAACCATTAGGCAACCTTGCTCATCAACGATTTTTTTTAATTTTAAATACGTTCACGCGTCATATGCATGTTTTTTACACTTAGGGATCTTTAAAATTACGTTCATAATGATGATTGATTTTCGTCTCTGACTTAGGAATTATAGGTCAATCAGATTTCTGTTGTGCGTTAAACATTTAGACTCAATTAGTAAGGCGCATACAGTGAGGCATTGCAGGGTTTAGATTCGATGTCATCATTTATCGTTGTAATTATAATACCCTTGACGTGACTATGAAGTTTCTACCGATCTCATGTCGCTGAGCGTAACTTCCGTCATATTCCTCGTCATGTTCACACCTTCTTCCGTCATTGGGACAAGGTCGGGGACGGGCGGTGAGTCCGACGTAGCAGTAGTCCCGTCTCTAGCTAGCGATATTGGGGACGTTCTTATGAACGTCACTCGTGACCCGTCCATCGAAGAACGGCGGCGACTTATTAGGTTAAAAGCACGACGAAAATTGCGATATAAGAAGCCCCTGTCGCGGCCGACGAACGTGTCCGGTGTGGAGACCGGAATAGGGTTGGATATTCCGGACCATCCTGTGCAGTTGTACAGGACTCCTGGTGATGATGAGTTCGCCGAGTCCAATGTTTGGCTCAATTATACGAACTTTCCTGCAGAGACGAGGTGGGTGCGGTCGTTGGACTGTGAAAGGTTTGAATACTTTTACTGCTTAAGATTTATTCATTCTAGATACCGTGTGATATAATGATGACCGGATAAATTTGTCCGGTTTTTTTACTGAAAAATGATTACAGAATTCAAGAGCATATAAATCGGAACATTTTGAAAGAGTGGGTAACTCAAAAAGCTGAGAAATATTGACTAGAAAACACGTTATTTAATTAGACATATTCATTGTTTAACAATATAAGCAATTAATATAATGCGATTAATTGTGATTCCCTGGCGATTAATATACTACGATTAATTTCGATTAATATAATGCGATTCCCTGGGTTACTAATTGAAAAATGTCATTTTTTGTGCAATCCTCACCTCCCAGTTTTACAGTGCCTCACTCTAATTCCACTAAGAGTACATTTTCATATGAAGGTAAATAGCTAATATCCCGCGACAAGATGAGTATCCTGAGCACGTGCTCAAATACATTTTCGGCGCAAAAAAACACAAAAAACTTTGACTGAAATTTGTAAACGTATGAAACATATTGAGATTTCCTTCCTTAATTTGTACCATGGCAAGCTCCAGCATAGGTTTTTTGACTCCATTGACAAAATGGATGATATTTACCAGTCATAATATGTCAGTGCCAGTGGATATGAATGAATTATTTCAATGGCAAATTGAACTACATTCAGGCTTAGTCCCTGCCTGAATTTAGGTGTTTATTGTGCCCTATTTTGGAGCACAATTTATTTTTTGTTCCTTATTTAGGAGTTTATCTTGCCGTTTACAGGCATTTATCGTGCCTGCATTTTATCGTTTATTGTGCCCGTATTGAGGTGTTTATCGTCGTCGTTTTAAGGCGTTATCGTGGCCGTATTGAGGCGTTATCGCGCCGTATAGGAACGTTATCGTACCAGTATGAAGATGTTATTGTGCCCGTATTAAGGCGTTTATCTTCCCCGTATTAAGGCGTTTATTGTCCCCGTATTAAGGTGTTTATCTTCCCCGTATTAAGGCGTTTATCTTCCCCGTATTAAGGCGTTATCGTGTCCGTATTAAGGTGTTAGCGTGCTCGTATTAAGGCGTTACGTGCCCTTATTAGAACGATATCGCGCTCGTATCAAGGCATTATCGTGGCCGTATTAGGGCATAATTGTGCTCGTATTAAAGCGCCCTTCGTTGCCGTATTAAGGTATTATCGTGCCCATATTAAGGCGTCATCGTGGCCGTATTAATACGTTATCGTACCGGTATTAAGGCGACCATCGTGCACCTATTCAGGCGTTATAGTTACCGCATTAAAACGCTTATCGTGGCCGTATTAAGGCACTTATAGTAGCCGTACTGAGGCGCTATCGTGCCCCAATTGAAGCGTTATCATGCCCGTATTAAGCAGTTATCAATTACCTAGTAACTTCATAACATTTTCTTGTAACGTCTACAAATTACCTATTAACCTGATATTAATAATCTACTGACGTCAACATATAAATGTACTTTAATCACCTCTGTCGTGTACAGTGTACATCACCTGTTAATTAACTCCGTAGCTTGGTGATGCATATGTTTATACCTGTTAACTTGCTATTAAGTACATCTGTGCATTATTGAATATTAATGAAGTCGAGTCTGTCAATGTTGCAATTGAATGGTATAGTTTTGCTTACGCTTACAATGTAAGGAAATATTTTGTAATTAACTTCACAATTCGGAGGTTCATACGCGACGAAAATGGCTGCATATTTACTGACAACGGTTTATTAGGAATCTAGATAACATTTTTCATAATAATAAACCATCGATTTCATTTAAGTTTATAAACGAAGTAGATAATGGAATTTTTTTAACTTTGGACCCGTTCGCAGATCCTAACTTCTGTTGCGATATGTGAAATTCGCAATGAGGAATTGATCGACTGATAGTGGTACTTATTAAAGCTTTTATATTGTCATTTTTTTTAAGTTGCCATTGTTCAAATTACAAACCCTTTCCACACTCTCACTTCTGGCTGAGTTCCGCGGGCTGTGTAAATCTGCCTATCAATTGTAGTACTTCCTTAGAATCCCGCGAACCAGCGACGATTCACGAACGAGTTTCCTCATTGATATCTCATGAAAACCCGCGATGAAGTAATGGTGCGGTGGTTGAAACGTTATATAGCGATGGCTTACTGGAATTTATTGCTCTGATTGACGTCACCATCGTTAATGTCATCAGTTATTGTTCTGGTTTTTACCACACTCTTCTCACCACACTTGCCTGACCACGTCACAGGTGTACCGCGGTGTGACGTGTCGCGGGTTCATCGGCAACAGGAGCATCTTCGTGCAGTCTCCCCGGCACCTCGCCGACGTTGAGAAGAAACTCGCCGTCGCCATTAATGTCATCGTCCATTCCAAGTACGATGAACAATCTGAGCAATACAGTTGTGATTATGCATGCATGTTAATGAGCTTAATGACTTGAATTTTTTTTCTAATGAATAATTTTATGTTCCTTCCCGTAAAAGAAGTTACAATTTATGCAAGTTTCCTATGAATAATTAGTCGTTTTTAGGAATATCGTTGCACGGTGATAGGGGATGCCATTGCATCGTGTGATTGTTTATTTCCTTCAAGATTCGCGTGTGTTGCAGGGACCAGAGCCCCTATAAGATTCGAGTGTGTTGGAGGGACCTGAGCCCCTTCAAGACTCGTGTGTGTTGCAGGGACCTAGCCCTCAGTGCTATAAGACTCGCGTGTGTTGCAGGGACCTGAGCCCCCTATAAGACTCGCGTGTGTTGCAGAGACCTGAGCCCCTATAAGACTCGCGTGTGTTGCAGAGGCCTGAGCCCCCTATAAGACTCGCGTGTGTTGCAGGGACCTGAACCCCCATAAGACTCGCGTGTGTTGCACGGACCTGAGCCCCCTATAAGACTCGCGTGTGTTGCAGAGTCCTGAGCCCCTATAAGACTCGCGTGTGTTGCAGGGACCTGAGCCCTCTATAAGACTTGCGTGTGTTGCAGATACCTGAGCCCCTATAAGACTCGCGTGTGTTGCAGAGACCTGAGCCCTCTATAAGACTTACGTGTGTTGCAGAGACCTGAGCCCCCTATAAGACTCGCGTGTGTTGCAGAGACCTGAGCCCCTATAAGACTCGCGTGTGTTGCAGAAGACCTGAGCTCCTTATAAGACCCTCATGTATTGCAGAGACCTGAGCCCACTATAAGACCCTCATGTATTGCAGAGACCTGAGTCCTCTATAAGAGCCTCATGTGTTGCAGAGACCTGAGTCCTCTATAAGAGCCTCATGTGTTGCAGAGACATGAGCCCCCTATAAGACCCTCATGTGTTGCAGAGACCTGAGCCCCCAGTGCGAGGACTACGCCATCAAGTCTCTGTGCTACGCGTCTCTGCCGCTCTGCGCTGATGACGGCGAAGGCTCTGTCGCGGCCCCGCGTCAGCTCTGCAGGGAGGAGTGCGAAGTTCTCGTGAGTTTATTTATTTAATGAGTTTATTTCTACAATCTTCATTTAAAAATAATTCGATGTGAACGAATCTCAGTGAGTTTATTTATTTAATGAGTTTATTTCTACACTTTTATTTAATATTTCGATGTGAACGAATCTCAGTGAGTTTATTTATTTAATGAGTATTTCTACACTTTTCATTTTAAAATATTTCGATGTGAACGAATCTCAGCGCCGTGTGCAGAATTGTTGAATAAATTGTGCGACCCTTTTGATCTACCAACGTCATCTAAAGAATTGTTCAACTCTTTGAAAATTATAATACATTCTCTGGTCATACCTACGTTGTACGCATATAAATTGTTATATCAGTGCACAATTTTTGTTATACCTGTTAATAAAACTAATTACCTTTGATACCGTCTATGAAGAAAGCTATTATAAATAGCAAGTTATATTTAATGCTGAATTGGTGTTTGTTATCAAATATGCTAATAAAACTAATCTCTGATACCGTTTATGAAGGAAGCTATTGTAGATAGTAAATTATATTTGATGTTTAATTGGTGTTTGCGTTGCAGGCGACTGACGTATGCAAGTACGAGTACCTCATCGCTAAGACCCACGAGCAAATAAAGCAGCTCCCCATCCCTGAGTGCCACGACCTCCCCCCCATCACCTCCGCCCTTCATAGATCCTGTATCCGCCTGGGCGTCAAAGTGGAGCCCCTAATAGAAGGTGGGGGTTAGTGTCTAAACCCTTTCTGGGAGGTTAGGGGTCTTGAACTAACCCCTACCTAAAATTGAAAGGTTGAAGTTCAACCCCTTAAAAAAGTAGGTGTCTACACCAACCCTGTAAGGTGTCTGTAAGTTTGTGTCTATGTTCAGCCGTACAAGAAGGTCAAGGTTTGACTCCTGTTTGAAGGTGGAGGAGGTTGAGGCTCAACCCTAATAGAAGGTGGGTCCAAGTCAAGCTGGTCTAGCTGAAATAACTAGGGTTAAGAAACTAGGTACTTAATGAAACAAACATTGTCTTGCTAAGAAAACTGTGCTAAGTGAGTCTAGCTAGGTAGGATAACTTTGGTCTAAATAAAATAACCAAGATCTTGCTATAAAAAAACAAACCTAACTGAAATAACTATGATCTCCCCTCCTGACTCACGGTACCGTCTTTTGACAATCTGTATTCCCTGCTCTCTCGAGTCTCGTGATGCCTATACTCCATGTTTGTATTAGAACTTTAAATTAAAACCAATATTCGAGCTAACTTTTACCACTGAATGTTTTACACATTCAGAGATTCCGCCATGTATGAAATGCACCTCAAAGACAATGAAATGTGCTAAATATTCTCGCCATTTGTATACCAGTGAAACCATTCCTCGACCACGACTCCTACAGGTAACGAGGACTGTTACCGTGACGCGGGCCACAAGTACCGTGGTCGTGTGTCGGTGACAGAAGATGGTCAGCCGTGTGTATCATGGCACCAGATGCAGCTGTCCTTCAGGACCGCTGACCACGCCGAGCTCATCGGTGGACACAACTTCTGCCGCAACCCGGCCAGCGTCATGGACAAGCCCTGGTGCTACGTCCACTCGGACAAGAACAACGCGGGTGCCGCGGACAACATTAATATGGTCAAGAGGCCATGCAGGGTGCCTGTGTGCCGTGAGTGAATGTTCTGTGTGATCTTTACTTTAATGAATAAATTAATAAGTGACTATTTTATTACGTATTATGTTTATTATGGCATATATTAATGAGATATGCCCCATCCGAAAAATAAAAGTTGAAACACATTGCCTTCAACTAATAATGCGCATGTATATCTTTGATATTCAATTTTCCGCTCCTGAAGTATCCATAAATATCAACAAATTCAGTCATACTCACTCATGTTTAATTTGAATGCAAACTATTAACAATAATATATTATCGTTCTATACCTAAAAATTTTAAACATTGTGCAGGGGACCTCTCATGGGTCTACATTGTGATTGCTTCGCTGGTGGGTGGCACCGTATTGTTTGTAATGCTTCTCGGGATCTTATTTAAAAGAAGAAAGTCTTCTCCTAAAGCCCCTAAGCCCAAAACTGTAGAGCTTAACGCCCTGCTGCCTAAACAGCAGCAACATCACCTCCTACAGCAGCAGCAGCAGCACCTTCAGCAAGTCAGAGCGAGGGAGTTTCCAATCTCCAGCGTCAGGTTCATGCAAGAACTCGGCGAAGGAGCTTTCGGTGAGACCACAGTACACTTTTCCCCAGCTTTTATCTTTAGTTTTTGCAAGAATAATATTTTAATTTGCTTTATTCGACGGTGAATTATCCTTAAAGTGACGAACCGGTAGAAATGGCACCTCGAATGGCTGTCAATACAAATTTTAAGATTTTTCTCACAGCCCTTTTTCTTGAAATACTGCTCAAATAATGTTTATTCGGATCAAAAATACTTAATTTAATCAATTTAATCAATTATTAATCATCATTTACTTAATCAATTTTTAATAAAAATTAATCAAATCAAAAATTTAAAATGGTATCCAACGGAAACAATTTCATAGTTGATAATATATTTTTACTGGCAACCTGCAGGCAATGTGTACAGAGGGGAGCTGCCATAAACCTAAACGAAACCAATCCATAAATTCACAAATTGTATTTATAACCGCAATCTGAATTAATTTTTTATCGAAACGAACCCAATCCATAAATTCAAAAATTGTATTTATAACCGTAACCTTAATCCATTTTTTATCGAAACGAACCCAATCCATAAATTAACAAATTGTATTTCTAACCGCAACCTGCAGGCAAAGTGTACAGAGGGGAGCTACCATAAACCGAAACGAAACCAATCCATAAATTCAAAAATTGTATTTCTAACCGCAATCTGAATTAATTTTTTATCGAAACGAACCCAATCCATAAATTAAAAAATTTTATTTATAACCGTAACCTGAATCAATTTTTTATCGAAACGAACCCAATCCGTAAATTAAAAAATTAAAAAATTGTATTTATAACCGTAACCTGAATCCATTTTTTATCGAAACGAACGCAATCCATAAATTCACAAATTGTATTTATAACCGTAACCTGAATCCATTTTTTATCGAAACGAACATAAATTCAAAAATTATATTTATAACCGCAACCTGCAGGCAAAGTATACAGAGGGGAGCTGCCATAAACCGAAACGAAACCAATCCATAAATTCAATAATAGATTTACAACCGCAACCTGTAGGCAAGGTGTACAGGTGTAAGGTGTATCATAAACCGAAAGGGGTGTATCATAAACCACAAGGTGTACCGTAAACCGAAACGAAGCCAATCCATAAATTCAAAAATTGTATTTATAACCGCAACCTGCAGGCAAGGTGTACAGGTGTAAGGTGTACCATAAACCGACAGGGGTGTACCATAAATCGAAACTAAACTAATCCATAAATTAAAAAATCGTATTTCTAACCTTAACCTGTAGGCAAAGTATACCGTGGAGAGCTGCGCGTGCTGCCCTCCGACACGACGACGCTGGCCGTGGCCGTGAAGACGCTGAAGGAGAACGCGACGGTGAAGACCCGGCAGGACTTTCACAGGGAGGTCGACCTCATGTCAGAGCTGCGCCACCCCAACATCGTGTGTCTTGTGGGCGTCGTGCTTAAAGAGGAGCCCATGTGCATGATCTTCGAGCACATGTCCCAGGTGATGACGTGGTGGTGACATGGTGGTGACATGATGATGCTTGTCCATGTGCATGATCTTTGAGCACATGTCCCAGGTGATGACGTGGTGATGTGGTAATGATGTGGTGGTGACATGATGATGCTTGCCCATGTGNTATAACCGCAACCTGCAGGCAAGGTGTACAGAGGGGAGCTACCATAAACCGAAACGAAACCAATCCATAAATTCAATAATTGTATTTATAACCGCAACCTGCAGGCAAGGTGTACAGAGGGGAGCTACCATAAACCGAAACGAAACCAATCCATAAATTCAATAATTGTATTTATAACCGCAACCTGCAGGCAAGGTGTACAGAGGGGAGCTACCATAAACCGAAACGAAACCAATCCATAAATTCAATAATTGTATTTATAACCGCAACCTGCAGGCAAGGTGTACAGAGGGGAGCTACCATAAACCGAAACGAAACCAATCCATAAATTCAATAATTGTATTTATAACCGCAACCTGCAGGCAAGGTGTACAGAGGAGAGCTGCCATAAACTGAAACGAAACCAGTCCATAAATTCAATAATTGTATTTATAACCGCAACCTGCAGGCAAGGTGTACAGAGGAGAGCTACGCGTGCTGCCCTCCGACACGACGACGCTGGCCGTGGCCGTGAAGACGCTGAAGGAGAACGCGACGGTGAAGACCCGGCAGGACTTCCACAGGGAGGTGGACCTCATGTCAGAGCTGCGCCACCCCAACATCGTGTGTCTTGTGGGCGTCGTGCTTAAAGAGGAGCCCATGTGCATGATCTTTGAGCACATGTCACAGGTGATGATGACATGATGTTGCTTGTCCATGTGCATGATCTTCGAGCACATGTCACAGGTGATGATGTGATGATGCTTGTCCATGTGCATGATCTTCGAGCACATGTCGCAGGTGATGATGTAGTGATGCTTGTCCATGTGCATGATCTTCGAGCTGGTACGGTGATTTGATGGAAATATGATTATGCTGTGGGTGTGACATGGTGGTGAGATGGAGTTGTGTCCCAGGTGACACGGTGATGTTGTCCAGAATGATGATACCCAGCAGAATGATGCTGTCCTTGTTCATGACTTGGAGATGGCATTGTGATTCTATTTAAAGTGACTGTGTCCATGTTGATTATGCCGTGATGCTGTGGTTATGCTTAGGCCGTTGTGGTTCGGGGATTCCTGAATAATATATTGGGTGATGTTTAATTTGCTTAATTGCTCTATTTTAATACCTTTCAATTATTCATTAATATCAAATGACTGACAATAGCATTACCCAGGGCGACCTGCACGAGTTCCTCCAGCAGCACTCGCCACGTCACGACGTCTCCCTCAGCAGCGATGACGGCGGCGCGCTAGAGCCTGCAGACATGCTCTCCATAGCCACGCAGATCAGCGCCGGTACAGACTACCTAGTCTGCTTAGTGGGCTGTGGTGGTCTGCTGTGGTAGTCTGCATAGTGGGCTGTGGTAGTCTGCTTAGTGGGCTGTGGTAGTCTGCTTAGTGGGCTGTGGTAGTCTGCTTAGTGGGCAGTGGTAGTCTGCATAGTGGCCAGTGGTAGTCTGCATAGTGGCCAGTGGTAATCTGCATAGTGGGCTGTGATAGTCTGCTTAGTGGAAAAAAAAGTGCATCGATTTTCGGACGCGGTTGACTCATCAAAGTGGGTCATCCAGACCCGCCCATTTCTCTCAGTGTGCACTTCACACTTAGAAAAAGAGAATGGGTAATATTGCACACGGTGCGATACACTTTCTGAGCGCATTGATACCTACATTGATGGCCCTTATGCCGGAAAAAATTTAGAATTTACGTTACAGCCGTAGTCGGGCGCTAGCTTTGCACTCAAGTCTGTCGGATTCCTCATGAATCTAGACATGTTTCCACGTTTCAAGCCTTTTTACTAATTACTTTTTCTGCCGTACTACACCTTCACAATATAACGTATCGCCCTTGACACCGCCTTCATTATGAGGGATCATCTCACAGCCGTGTTACGCCATTGGGATAAAACCTCCTCCTCGCAATAGTGCTACTGCAACAACAATATAATCTTCTCCGTAAAAGTAATAATCCTTCAATATAAACTCTCCCCAGCCCAGCCGTACTACGGCTGCAACAACAACAATCTCCTTCCCCACAGCCGTGCAGCACTTGCAATGCAATCTATCCCATGCACAACCGTACTAAATCTTCCGTACAAAATATCGCCACCATAACCGTACTACGGCTACAACACATAATAGTTCCCCCTGTTCAGCCTTACTACGGCTACAACACATAATATTTCCCCCTGTACAGCCGTACTACGGCTACAACACATAATATTTCCCCTGTACAGAGCTGTGGTAGTCTGCACAGGTAGTGGGCAGTGGTAGTCTGCATAGTGGGCTGTGGTAGTCTGCATACTGGGCAGTGGTAGTCTGCATAGTGGCCAGTGGTAGTCTGCAGTGATAGTTAATTTTCATTGAGTCTGAAAGTGTAGACTGATTAAGTTTATTTAGTACATTTTTATACATAATCGGAACCACAACGCAGTAACGGGGATTATTATTATTATTATTATTATTATTATCATACGCATCATATTGTATGATACGTTATTATGGCATCACAACATGCAATATTTATATAACCTGGAATAACTGTAACTTATAACCATGCACTACAGTGCTCTACACCGCAGTTCATCACGTTCCAATATTCACCACATTGCACCACACTACCGTAAATTACAGCCTCTACTAGTCACAACACCATAATATAGTACAGTGCATCACTCTGCACCACACCACCCTACCTCACCACCCTGCATCACTCTGCAACATACTGCATCAGACCACCATGAACTGCAGTGCATCACAGTGCACCACACCACCATACATCGCCACTCGGCTCCACACCAGCATAAAATGCACTGCATAACAGTGCACCACGCCATATTACCTCACCACCCTGCACCACCCTACCTCACCACCTGCACCACCCTACCTCACCACCTGCACCACCCTACCTCACCACCTGCACCACCCTACCTCACCACCTGCACCACCCTACCTCACCACCCTACCTCACCACCAGATCNGGCCTACAGGTGAGCTACGGCGTCCTGCTCTGGGAGATCTACAGCTACGGCCTACAGGTGAGCTACGGCGTCCTGCTCTGGGAGATCTACAGCTACGGCCTACAGGTGAGCTACGGCGTCCTGCTCTGGGAGATCTACAGCTACGGCGTCCTGCTGCTAAAACTTGCTGCACTACACACTTAGAAATATAAATGAGTAATATTTCTCACGGTGCGATACACTTTCTAAGCGCCACATTGAAAAGTATTTTGTCAGAAAAAAAATTTGGCAGCATTACCCAATAAATGGCAAAGGTGCATTCTACTTTGGGCAAAGTTACACTCATTTCACTTAGTTTATAATCTCATAAGAAGTTTTTGGTTGTTATGCTGATGCGCCGTTTCCCAATCATACTATGGAGAATTATGTTTGAATCCAACCTAAATCCAATTGATGAATCCACCCTAAATCCAATTGATAAATCGAACCCAAATTTGCTAAACCTAAGCTCTGCTTGCAGCTCGAGTCAAGCCAACGAAACGAATGATAACGAAGTTATAATGTCAATAATAATGACAATATCAACCTTGTTGATTTACGAGCTTCCAGAGATCTGGGGTCATACAATTAAAACTCGCTTAAGTATACGTAGCGACTAACACATAATATTTCCCCCTGTACAGCCGTACTACGGCTACAACACATAATATTTCCCCCTGTACAGCCGTACTACGGCTACAACACATAATATTTTCCCCTGTACAGCCGTACTACGGCTACAACACATAATATTTCCCCCTGCACAGCCGTACTACGGCTACAACAACCCCGAGGTGATCGAGCTGATCAGGTCGCGCCATCTGCTGCCGTGTCCCGACAACTGCCAACCGCGCATCTACGCGCTCATGGTCGAGTGCTGGCATGAGACGCCGCACCGCAGGCCTTCCTTCAGGTGACTAAGTCTTGCTTACTCTAACTAGGCTCTGAGTTATCAACTATTATTGTAATTCAGTGGGTCACACACTGTTGGGTCAGGATCTTCAAATTAATCACGGGCATTTTTCTGTAAATAAATTTCTTCGTTTTGTGATCAATGTTAAATTGAATCCGCGCCATTTAAACTTAACGTTTTTTTAATCTAGAGTAATAAGATAAATGGAAACGTCGAGAAGTTATTTGTTCATAACGTTTTTTAGAGCGTGAAAAGAAAGCGTTATGGTAACGAGCTTCATGGTAAAAACCTAATCCACATTCCAGGGAGATCCACCAGCGGCTGCGCTCGTGGTCGGGCCTCGAAGTTGGCACCGGCGTGACAGGCTTGTCCATTTCGTCCATCTCGGGCAATGGCGGCCAATACTCGACCGCTGGTGGTCAATATGCTTCCAGTGGCCATTTCACACCCGGACTCGTTAATAACCTCAACCTGACGGGCAGTAACTTAACCGGCAGTAACTTGACGGGAACGTTAACCGGTAGCGTTTCGGGTCAGTCTGGGTCCCAGCATTCCAGCACCGGCCCTTCAAACAACACCGGGTCCACCAACCTCTCTGGGACTACCCAACCACCTCACCTACCACGACCATACCACGCTGGTCCTCCATACACAACCATGGCTAGTGGTGTTAACCCTAGTGCACAACCTCTACAACCCCCACAATCCCCTGCATACTCAGCCCCATACAACCCCAACTCTAGCTCTAACGGAGCGGGGTTATACCCTAAGATGAACCCACCCATTCCCCCACCGGTGAGCACCAATCAGACGGTGTATTTGGCGCAGAGAAGCAATGCTCTTGGTGGGTCCCCGGTTACCGTGAGGGTTGCCCACGACGCTCAGCTCGCCAACCTATAAAGGGAGCACTATAATTTTGTTGTGTATATGTATATACGATCGAACGACGGTGCTGTATTATCATTAATTAATGTCCTTAGCTTCATCGGTAGAAATCTTACTCAATTCACGAATTAATGAGATTGAAAAAATGTCGTTGAAAACTCAATCGTATTCAATAAACTGATATTTTTTTCGAATTTTTGCAGTTTTTCGGCTACTGTTTTGGTATGTGCTGTTTGATACTTTAGCGATATTTTGATGGCTTGAATGAAAAAACGTTTTCAAATCGCTAGGTGAAGAATATTTCTTAAACTATATGATGAGATAAACGTGTAATACATTATCGCTGCCATAAAAAAGTCATTTATGTTAGAAAAATGAATTTAATCGTGTAGGTATGTAAATTTATTTATTAAATTCTTTAATTATCTTCATATCAAAAAGCAGTTGAGAAAATGTAAATGTTTGCATATTCATGGATTGCATGCGACCCTGCTGAGGAATGCCATGGTTAAATGCTTCAAGGGAACCTACGTTTGCTTGTCCCAGTGAAAGCTTCTGAAGTTAGCCACGAAATTTTATATTTGTATCAGTTTTTCATCAGTCGGACAAGCTGAAGAAAATGAAATCGCTGATATACATCAGTCGATTAAAGTGCAAATAATAATTTAATAACATAATTCATTCATCACTTGATGTGGTTTGGAAAACAATGAAATTACTATAGTAACCCTGGAACATTTGGTCAACTCGACACCAAATTAAGCGTTGGCTAAAAAAGTTCATAGAGCTAATTTTTTCGAAAGCTTGGTCTTTGTTTACATTCCAATACCGAAAATATTCTAAATGCAATTAAGTTGATACATCATCTTGAAATTTTCTGAAATAATTAATGAAAGAAAACAATGTGGTCTTATAATATAATGAATTTATTTATCGCAATAAGTTCTAGCTTACTTTTAATTGCATTTACTATATTTTGTATGCTACCGCCTCTTGGCTGAAGCGCTTAACGTTCTCTTGCTTCTGTACTGTTCCGCAAAAATGGCTCTTTTACTTGTTATATTGTAAAAACAAAAACTTGAAATAATTATGCCAACGTAAATTAATTAATGTGATCCCGACACCAAAACACCCCTGTAATCGAATAAAATAATTAAATTTAATATCTTTAGAAATTGAGGAGCTCTTTGTTATATATAGTTTGTTAACAGGTGAGTTCATTGCCGATGAGCGTCCGAGAATTTTTAACTATTTTCGCTCATAATTGCACAAATTAGAACCAATCTGTTAACGCTCTTCAATCAATAACCTGAATCCATTTTTTATCGAAACGAACGCAATCCATAAATTCACAAATTGTATTTATAACCGTAACCTGAATCCATTTTTTATCGAAACGAACCCAATCCATAAATTCAATAATAGATTTTATAACCCTAACCTGCAGGCAAAGTGTACAGAGGAGAGCTACCATAAACCGAAACGAAACAAATCCATAAATTCAAAAATTGTATTTCTAACCGCAACCTGCAGGCAAGGTTTACAGGTGTAAGGTGTACCATAAACCGAAAGGGGTGTACCATAAACCACAAGGTGTACCATAAACCGAAACGAAACTAATCCATAAATTCAATAATTATATTTCTAACCTTAACTTGCAGGCTAGGTGTACCGAGGGGAGCTACCATAAACCGAAACGAAACCAATCCATAAATTCAATAATAGATTTTATAACCGCAACCTTTAGGCAACGTGTACCCAGATATGATGCTCTGCCATACTCTAGCATCGTTACTCCGAGCAACCACAATCCAACCAAAACTAGTTCATAAATTCAGAAAATTTATTTTCAATTAAAACGAAACCAATCCATAAATTCAATAATCGTATTTATAACCGTAACCTGCAGGCAAAGTGTACAGAGGGGAGCTGCCATAAACCGAAACGAAACCAATCCATAAATTCAAAAATTATATTTATAACCGCAACCTGCAGGCAAAGTATACAGAGGGGAGCTGCCATAAACCGAAACGAAACCAATCCATAAATTCAATAATAGATTTACAACCGCAACCTGTAGGCAAGGTGTACAGGTGTAAGG